CATGTTCAGGAGTGAATGACATAACCAGACATTTTTGGCTAATGTCTTTACAACTGATAAGAACAGTAAATGAGTCATTTCTACTGGTGTCTTTACTACTGATATGGACAGTAATGAGTCATTTTCATTGCTGTGACATTCATGTCTTGCTTTTGCTATAGTTTATACTTTACATTGCTTTGAAAATGATTCTCCTAGCTCAGAAATGATTTTATCACAAAATCACAATATAAATTAAGAATCAAGAATAAATTAAAAATGAGATTTACTACTTTGAAATGTAAGCGAAAAAAGAACATTGTCACAACAATTAAGGTGTAAATCCCCAACCGTAAATAGAAAGAAATGTTGAATCAAGTAACCAAACTATTGACCTTCTCTCCACACACAATTCTTTTAAATACAAATTATATTTTACCATTTATCACAGTGAACAAATATTTGTCTATTTACACAGCAAAGCCAGTGTTTGGCCTTTTTAGAAAACTTACTAAGCACTGTAAATTTTACATGTAAATAATGTACATGTTAAGGTTTTTCTTATTAAACAACAAAAAGAACCAAACAAACATTCCATTTAAACCTTTGCCTACAGAAAGTGAAAATACAATTGTTGCTGGTCAGCTAAAAGAGAAAGAAAACATACCCAAAAACCAGGGCTAACAAAGCATCTTGTTCCTTGAAATGGAGCCACAAATCCATTCCTTTCTTTAAAGACTAACCACAATAAAAATCCTTTGCTGACAAGCGTTTTGATAGATCTGGCATTGGTGACCACCTGACAATGTAATTTATCTTTATGTATGTTTTAGGTAGTGATGTAGCCAAGTAAAATGGAGCTTTTACTCTAATTATGTGTGTCTGGCCCATATTTACTGTTGTCATCTCATATGTAGTGTAGTGAGTAACGAAAAAGTAATTGAACAATAAAATATTTATTTTCATAGCACTGGTAGACTTGCTATACGCTACGAGTTGTCATGGTGTTATTAAAGAACTGAATTCTGATATCTTCCTTTGATTTTTATTTTTTTATTTTCCGTAAATTATACACGTATTTAATAAAATATTCATTTAAGTTGATTTATCGAAAGGGGAACCCCCACGGTCTGGGGATCTAAATTCTTGATACAGGGTGCTTCAAAAAAAGGTAATCCAACTTTTACTTGCTGATGTGTGTAAATTACTGAATAAATAACTGCAGTTTTAAATATTTAAAAAGAGTTCTAGGTTGTAGGTATGGAATGCTATGTTGTTTGTTGCGATTTGGAAGGAAAATGAGTGAAATGCAAGCGCGTTGAAAAATTTTGGTCAAAGACGCATTCTTTTACCTTTGAGCATTTTTCCATCAACATGAAAGGTGCTTCACTTTGATTTTGCTGGTTTGTTGACTGACTATCACATATTTCATGGTGATGTCTCATTTTCCAACCTTGACAATATTTGAAATTATCTGACATTTACAATTTCCATGATTCAGCAAAAATTGATCCTCAAGGAGCCTTAATTAAACGTAGTTAAATACATAATAAATTAATAACTACATACGTAAAATTTAGAAGCTACATTGCATTAAAAATCCCAGTCAAGAAACTTATTTTAATTACATTTATACCTCCTAGCGTGGAGATCAATCATTGCTGCTGAATCATGCAAATTTCAAACTATCGGCTGATTTCAAAGATGACCAGTTCTTTTGAGACATATTGTAAGATATTTTGATTACAAAAAATTTGCAAAGATCATCAAGTGTACGCTCACTACGCTGAAATCGATCGAGGTGTTTAACTACACTGTGAAGAATTTGGAAGAAATAAAAGCATAAAGCACTGTTTTACCCGCTGTTAATTAAGTTGTACTAAATTGTACTAATCAAGTTGGCCTAATTTTATTCATCTGTAAAAAAATAAAATGGTGTAAAGTTACAATAGTTAATTTAAACACCTGAGATAAACATAACTTTCTCATGAGTTTATTTCGTTGCTGTAAAAATCTTACCATCATAAATCGTTGGTTAAAAGTGATTTGTCTTTCGATCAATTGTCGAGACAAGAATCGTGATCTAAGAAAGAAAAATGTTCAGGAAAACGTTTTAAAACAGCCAAAGGCCAATAAACTGCATTTGACTTGGAGACACTGGAGATTAAAACTTCGCCAAAGAACAAAATCTTTTGATTTCCCATTTATAGCTTGCCATGGAAACGGCCTGGTGGACTCACAATATATATACGTCTTGTAAAATTACTGTCAAAAACGATGAAGGAGGAAAAAGATACTTACCATCTTAATATTTCCACAGTTATAAAGCAGTTCAGACGAAGTAGAATATCAATTCGTAAATAGCTCAGCCTCAAGGGAATGGTGAACAAAAGCCAAATACGTTTTCTTCGTGGTCAATAATCAAGTTCTTTATTTATATAAGTCCTCCATCATGGTGAATTAAAACCACAAACATTTGTTCTATGTTTCTCGATCGCATTAACAGAAAATGTTCACGTCTAAAATAAAGCAAAGAATTAACATTAACAAAAACGAAAACTTTATAAGAAGACGTATATTTAGGTCACACATTTTGCATAAAGATATTAATGTCGTTTACATTTCACACTTCAATCAAAGAGAGAGTTCTCTCCTAACACGAATATCACAAATCACATTTACCTGAACATGTTATCGAAAAAATGAAAGATATATTTTGCTTTCGGCAAATATTCTTCGTGTATGTAGGAAGGTAGAGATTTAAATAATGCATTGAAAGTTTCAGTTGATCTTAAAATATGCCTGTCGCATATTCATCTTTCGCTTTGGGTTCCTTACATCAGGCCTTCGATCGAAGTGCAGATTAGGATAGAAAGCAAGTTGGTCGCTGCATGCACACGCGTGCTGTATTTCGAGCAAAGTCGTATAACCAAAAACAATTTGGCCCTAATCAGACCATTGGATCGTGGTTTGTAACAACAAACAGTAGTGAAGAGCTACCAACTCACATCTTTGTGGCTTTCCAAGACGCTGGACGCTTTAACAATGAAGAACAAACTATACCTGTCTTTGACCATGCTAATTTAAGTCGAATTTATGTTGAGATCAATAACAATCAAAAGTATCCTGAAAAAGAGCTTGATGTTAATTACACAGCTGCTAACAGCAATTACAGCAGAGCCTACATGATGTTTCAAGACGCTGCAATGAAGTACAGCGATCCAGATACAGGCTCTCAAGTAAGCTTAGGAGACTTTGCAAGCCTGTTTCCTATTTACCATTTCGATGTAAGTCATCATGCCGATGTTTTGAGAAAAAAGAGGCAAACATTAGAATTCGTTGGACCTTGAATCAAGCTTTTCGTAGCGCGATTAATGCTGGTGGCAGCAATGAGTATAACATGTTCTGCTTGGTGCTTAGCGACCGATTTATTCGACTTAATGGGATAAACGGTAAAATGGACATAATCGTTTAGACTGTTTGTCTGATGTGATATGTTATTATTTAAAAATAATTTATAAGATTAAAAAAACAAAAAATTTTCGACTGTTTATATACGCAAATTGTTTTGCATGTGCACAAAAATGTCGGACATTAATAACGCAATATTTGTTGAAGCTCTCAGACCCGCCATGGAGCGAGTAATCACTCAGGAATTTAAAGGCGCTGGTATTTATCTTCCTGGGTCAAGAAGTATAGAAGGCTGTAGCTTTATTGGAAATCTTGTTAGAAAACTCATACCTACGGTCACTAAACTCATACCAAAAGTGTTACCGTCTCTAGGCCTAGCAGCTATATCAGGTGCTATCACCGGAAGCACGCAAAAAGCAGTTGCTGGTAGTGGTGTAGTTAGGAAAGGTGGTGCAGCTGCTAAAGGTGGTGGACGTAATAACTACACAGTTCACGGCGTTACACTTTCAACGGCTCAGAAAAATAACTTGGCAAAGGCAGTCAGAGACGGAACCGGAGTGACTATACGACTTACCAAAAAAGCACTTGACGGCCTTGACATGCTTATGCTTACTAAGACGCAAATTAAGCGCATAATGGGTGCAAAACCCACAGGATCTGGGTTGCATCTAAAATTGTCTAAGAGTCAGATTACAGCCATGGTTTCATTTTATAAAGTACTAGCAATTTTTCTCGCAATAGTCACCATCTTCTGTAATAAAAATAATCACTATGTGTACTTTACCTTGACAAAATACTAATGTCACTTAAGTTAGATTCCTTCTCTTTGAGCAAATAATAATGTTCACTATCCTTAGCAAAAATTTCTTTTGCAGAATCTAAAGAGAAACAAACAAACATCAATTTATTATCTTACTAGAGAGGTTACTAAAATTGACCTCTTTGTTTTAGAATTAAAATCAATCTATTCAAAAAATCCTACCAATTTTAGGCTTTTTGCAATGGGTTGATTTCTTAGATAACAACTTCTGGTTTGATGTCGTTCAGCAAGGCTAAGTGCAACATTAGTGAAGTTTCCAAGGTATGAAGCCAATCTTTTAAAGTAACTGTGCTTTGCTTCATATCGCATGCACCAGCTCGAATCATTGGTCCAAATCTGAAAAATCAAGGACTTAAGTTAGCTAGAGGGAAACCAATGATGTAACTTTTACATGCATTTTGAGTTACATACCATAATTTTATTTATAAACTAAGATACAAACCAGCAAAATCATACCTGTAAATATGAGCTGAGTAATGAACCAAGTAATGCATCTTGGGTATAACTGAAAGCCCAGGATAAAGCTGGGTGAATTTCCACAAAATTCCTTCAGGTATCCTTCCAGGATAGCAAGTTCATCAGTGTTTGTGATTGGTGAAAAACAATGTCAACAATTTTAAGGAGCAACAGAAAATGCATCCACTTTTCTTCATCCTGAGGAATGGCACTGCCAAGAGCTAAAAGAAGGAATTTTCCAAGGCACCACATTTGTCTGGCTATAAAAAGAAAAACCAATCATTTAAATCAAGGGTGATGGTATTTATGCTCGGGACAATCACTACACCTTACCTTTTTGCTTTAAACTATTGTTTTCACTCCTCAAAGTTGTCCGGGTGATTGGTGATGGCTTGTTTTTATCATTAAAATATCCATAATCAAAAGAGTTAAGTCTTTCATTAAGTTGCTCCACTGTTAAAAATTTTTCTTTAAATATGAAGTCCTTCAGCAATCTTTACATACATACTGAAGTACTCCTTCTAGTATATCATGCATTGCATCACCTGGCATGCCATCTGCTACATGAAAATACCTAGAGTTGCGAAGAATTGATCTCCTGCAAAGCCCATATACTTTTTTCAGTTCTGGGTTTTCTTCAATCAGTTCACATTGGCGGTCATGACCAGCACAAGTTCGAAGTGTAAAATATTTTCTAAAAACTGAAAGACTTACTTTAAAGTGTATGTTCCTGGTCTGCTAAAAACCATAATAAAACATTTGATCTATGTTGAAACAGGTTAATAATGTATTATCATAAACATACATACCTTCTGCTTTATTTGTTCAGTGGTCCCCATGCATTGTCGGCAATTCAAATGTCAATGCCATATTTTTTGATAATTGGAACTGTTGCCATAAGGAGTAGGTGAATGTTATCACACTGGGATCGATATCAAGGATCAATATTTCCAGTTGTGTAGTAAACAACTCCTGTCATACAGAAATAATGGCATATGATATAATAAGAGATTCTTATAGCCTTTCATTGCTCATACACTTTTTTACATTTGAGTGACTGATTTAGTCACTATGATGTCATTAAACTATTACCTAACATATGCTTTCCAGTTTTACTACCAAGGGCATTTGCAATTTCCAACTCATCATAGTAAAGCATGATTTGTAAAGCAGTTGAGTCCTTGGAAAACAGAGGATGGGTTTTGAAATACTGGCCATCGCAAACATCCTCAATTACATCATCATGTTTATGTTGCCGAAGATGACCATGGTTTAGCTGAAATTGAAATCGAAGAATGAAAATATTAAATTTATTAATAAATTAAATTTATTATTAACCAGCAATGGAAATGTCTGGTGGTAGGATGGGTGCCTTCCTACCATCAGATATTTCAAATTAAAATCAGGCTATTTTCATATTTTCATGAAATAATTGGAATATATTTCTGGAAATGTGCTCTAATAAACGCATGTCATCATTGTTTTTGCTTTCATGGAAACTAACACAGTAAAACACACATAAAGTTCCTTTTATGGTTATACATAGAACATGTATTAATATTTTGCAACCTTGTTATTGATATGGGTACTTGCAAAGATGTAGTTGTCATAGTTTGATAAACTTGCCAACATAAAAAAACACAACCATGCTATTAACAATCTGACCTGTTCAAGTACTCCTTTTACATTGAGCATTTTTTCCAAGGATTTAAGCAGTGGTATGTACATGATTTCGTAATCTTTAATAACCTCTTTGCACACAGTCCTTGAATGTCTTTTCACAACTCTGTGTCCAAGTTTAATTCGTCTGGGTTGCTACAATTAAAACAATGATTATGCATAACAAGCACTAAAGAGCAGCTGGCTCAAATATGTTAAAAACCTCAAAAAACTTTATCCAAAAACTCTAAACATTCTAAAAAAAGTCAAAAAACATAGAAATAAAACTTACAACTAAGCCAAAATGCTCCTCAAAATAAGCATTCTGTTTATACTTTGTGGAAATATGTTTGAATGGATTTGAGATAGCATGTCCTTCATCAAATAATTCATCAAGACCTGGCACATCATTATAATTTAATCCAGCTTTCTCTAAGCAATTTTGCAAACCGTGTTTAATTGCTTTGACTGTTCCTTGGACAAGTTCAGTGGAATCTTCTACAATGTTATCCACACATTTTTGTGTGAGCAGATTGATTTCTTTTGTTTTTAGAAGAAATTGAGCCTTTTTGTGTTCCATTGCTTGAACAGAGTCATCAAGTTCATTTTCCCTGTTGAATTCATCAATTAAGAGTTCAAGGCCATCCTCATCAGGACAAAAATTGTTGTGAGTGCTACTCGCTGATTCAACGCAACATAGATGACGTGAGTTTAAGTCAACATTGGCGTGCTTTCTTCTAAGATGACTTTTGTAAGAGTTAACCTAAACAACAAATCCGTGAACGCACTGAATAAGTAAATATTTTTAACAAATAACAAACAAATCAGTGTCGTATCAAGAATCAAAAGCTTACCTTAGCGAAGGTAGAATTACATTCTGGCACTTCGCAGAGAATATGCAATCTGGCATCGTGTTCATTAACAGCGTCCAAATGATGCAACATTCCAGCGACAGACGTTGAAAAAAAACGTTGCACATACCTGACAACACAATCGTGGCATAATTAATTGAATTTTTACGAATATTCTTGCGTCACTAGTCAAGTGACAACACCGTTACCGTTTGTTAGAGCAATGAATGAGTAAAATCCATTGAGCTCTAAAAGACCTGGAGGGGCAAAGGGGCCTGGACCCCGTGGTCAAAAACATGGCGGTAATGGCGGATTTTGGTTGTCAAAACTTCCACTTTGAGAAAAATTTTTAACATTCGCTCCCTCCCGAAACCGGAACTCTAACACTGCTCAAAGTAATGACAACCAGCGAAAACAACCACGATACCGTAAGCATAAAATATTGAAATAATCCTTCAGGTTTTTGTGAAATAGACACACACATTTAAATGAGGTAAATCTACTGTAAAATAACGTATATTTTTTCAAGTAATGCTTTAGCTATATTAGAAATAAATATCAAACGGCAATCTTTACACTGTCAATGTGTGTTAAGCTTTAATGCATAATCCCATGCGCAATACTTGTGTTTTTGACTGTTTGTGAACAGCTTGGTGCAACTGTCTTTCTTGAATAGATGGGTAAATCTTAGTAAAAATGTCCAAAAAGGAGTTAGAAAAAGTTAGCTTACCTCTACGACTTAAGTCGACTGGAAATATATTATTAGTAGGTATGTAATTTTTTGAGTTTTTTTTGGTAGGATTGATTCTGGATGTCTTATAAAGTATTATGATATTCTGATAAATCTACTGAGAACTTATGAGGAAAATATCTTGAACTAGGAGAGCAAAAGAACGAAATTCAGAAATTCTATAATCATGTTGCTGGTTCTGTTTTGAGCCAAGATATTAGAAACTGGATTGTTATTGACAACCATGGATCTACTACTGAACAGAACTACATTAATTTCCCATTGAAAATATGATTTCTTAAATTAAAGTGCATTGGTTTCTCTGACATAACACTTTTCTTATTGCTGCATGAACGCAAACCTGTTTAAATAATTATAATGTAGGTGAAGATTTTTAGCATGTTGTATAATTGTTATTGTACAGTCATTATTTATAATATTATGGCCTTGTGTAATGTATGTCAAGAAGAACATATTAATTCTCAAAAATGCTAACCTTCTTGCACTATTTTCTCTTGTGTCCTTACAAATTGCAGTTACCTATACTAATTTTTTCTAGGTTCAAACAACTTGACAAACTTTTGAATTTTACATTATGCCTTTGAATTTTTCTTTTTGTCTTTTGGTAAAAATATCAGTGAATGACTTAAAAATCAAGTTTTCTAAAATAGTATTTTGTACAAAGAAACTATACATAATTGGAAAAGTCTCATGTTGAAGACAGATGTCACTTCTTTTACTACATTGCTACTCTTATTCTTTTAAATGATATCGTAATTCTTCAAAAGACATAAAAAGTTCTTTGCCATCAATTTTTGCTTCTTCCACATTCAACTTCATTGCAACCAATGCATCTTATGTGAATTTTTAATCACCTGGAATTGAAAAACGTATGGATTTTGTCAGATGATGCAGTACTGTATTTAATGTTTCATGCATGTCATGATAAGCTTTTCTTGAGCAAATATTTCAAGGTAGGAGCAAAATTTGGCACATTGAACAAAGTAGTTTTTATCTTGATTTTGATGTACTAACCTGTTTACTACACTGTGTAACAAACAATTCATTTACAGAAACACCAGTTGGCATTTATAAAACTTTTCGCATAAAGCAAACCTTTACACACCATCATCATGCTTGTCCAAATCTGTCAAATTGTCCAGGCTTGCTGTTTAATACAGGTATTTTTTATTGTATGACATGGACCAAAGAGCTCATTAATTAATCCTGCACTGCATTTGATTTCAATACAGCTCTGTCCTTAATATTTGCTTCATATTTTCAGAAAAATATCATGAAAAAATCCTCCATTTCAACTCAGTTGAAACAAGGAGTTTTAAGATATGCATATCTTGATAAGAACTGGTTGCTTTGCCTCGTCTAGCAATCGATTAAGTAAAGAACAAATAAGACTGGATAAACATAACTTAAATTATAACTTAGGAGTAAAAACATTCACAAAATATATGCCATCACACTTCAAGTATTGACTTAAAACAAAACACTGAACACTTTAAATGCTAAACAATCTTACGTTGCTTACCGGTGTCATGAAATGTTTCCTTTTCTGGCATTACTTCAGCATCCGTATACCAAACAGGTTTGCAGCATGTTTTAAAGATAAAATTTCTAACAGTTTTTGTGCTTGGCATTGATATTTTATATAATCGCAATTGTGGTTGTCAAATCCGGGTGGGCGAAAAAAATTTCATTTTATGAGCCCGCGTCTTTCCGCTGACTTTGACAACCAAAATCCGCCATGTTTTTGACCACGCGGCCGCGCGCTGATAATTTATAGTAATTTGGTTGACGTTTCCCCTCCAGTTATTATAGAACTCAATGGTCGGCACTAGATCATGGTCAACTAACGTACGCGCCCACATATTATTCTTATTATGTCAGCGGTAAGTAACAACTGACGAATATTCATGTAAATGTTATTACCATTGGTAATTACCTATAAGCTGTGACAAATCACTAAAATATAGAATAACCATTGAGAATAACAAGTTTCATATGCGTATTTAACCGATATGCGGCTAAATGACACGAAGAATTCTTTTTGCGATTTCAGGTTTGGACAGTTTTACTTTTTAACACATCTATTGTTTTGTATTCTTTGTATTTTACATATATTGTCATATGCTCAACGATTTTAAATCATCATAACGATACTCGAAGAAGCAATGAACAATATACAATGAACGTAACAGTGACGTATCCAGCCCGTTTTATTTAGCTCTGCTATACAATTATTTCTTTGTTCACTAACTGTAAAAACAACAGATTTCTAAAGAAATGTTTATTGATAATAATATCAAATTTACATAACACGACCAAATTATCTTCCGGGCTCACTACACAACTGTGTAAAATTTATAAGGTAAATTTATTATTTCTACATTTTCTAGACAGTATTAGTTATATGTCCCCAGTTAGTTGTAAAAATAAATACCATGTCCATGATTCACAAATAGAAAATGTTAATTTTGTTTAATATTATTTACAGATATATACATACATGATTTGTCAAGGGGTTCCAATTTGAGCAATTACAGTGTACATGTTTGCAAGCAAAAGTGAAGCGATACATGATTATTTTTATGTTAGATGCTTACAATTACTATTTTCTCACAGAATATAATTTTTTGAATGGCAGGTTTGCATTGCATTCTCAATGTGGGGAAACATCTCGATTTTTTGTTCTTCAAAGCATTTGACCAGATGCAATCGCATCTTCTCCTGCAGCCAGGTAACAGAGCAAGGGTTCACACCATTAGCCAAAGCAACAGCATTTGCCACAGCAAAAAGACCACAATCTGATGATCCTTTTTGATGTTGTTGGAGAATCACTTTGACGTTTAAAGAACCATCCTGTTTTTGAAGGTTTTTGTAAACATTCTGGAGTTGCCTTTTTAATGATGAATTCAGGTTGGCACTCATGGATTCAAAGACTACTATTTCACCAGTTATGGATGTAGAAACCACCCAGTGGTTACCAATATTATGACATTGAATTGCTTGGGTGATATTTTCAGGAATATTTATGAGTTTGTTACTGTATGTGACTGCTACGACTGTGTTCAGACCTCCCACTCTGGTACCAAGATCACCTATTAATTTCTGTGCTGCATCAATATGGTCATCTGAAAGCCATCCATTTAGATTTAGAAGCACGTCTTTCTGAGCATATGACAACTTTATTCCTTGAATATCTACCCAACACTCCTCAGAATTTTCAATTTTCTCATTGTTGTTCATTTTCATCTTTTTTGCTAGTTGCTCTTCAATTACTTGTAATTTGCATTTCTCATGCTTCTCTTCTTTTTCAAGCTTCTCTTCAAATACTTCAATCTTTTCACTTCTTAAATCAGCTGCTCTTCCCACTCGTTTACCTGGACACCTCTTGCATTTTCGTTTTGGCAAAGCAGATTGTGACCTACACTTTAAAATTTGTTTCTTTTTTGGAGATAAGGACTTGTTTTTCAATGAAATTCCATTTTCCTCAGGATGATTTTTTCTTGTGTATTGTATTACCTCTTGTAACATCTCCAGGGTTTTGTCCAAAACTTTCTCATCATCCAAAATGTAAAGCTCATCCTGAATTTGTTTGACTTTTTGAACACACTTATTTCTAACATTTTGGATTGAGTTGGAGCAATAATCTGTTGTGGTAAGAAAACTGTCAGAAGAATGAGCTTTTTCATAATCAGGACATTGCGCAAAGTTTTCTGGCAGTGACTTGTGTTTGATATCAGTGTGAGTTGGGCTTATAGTGGCTTTTGGTTGAATTATATGGGGATCTAAAGTAAATAGGGGATGATTGGAAAACTTCACTCCAATTGATTCCCACCCAACATTTGGTTGTTGAACAACAGCACAGATGTGTTTACAAGGCATCTTCCGACTCCTGTAATCAAGACATTGGCAGGAAGGCATTTGGTCGTTTGATCCCAAAAAAACTTGATATGTGGATGATGAGCTTGTGACAGTGAAATGTTTTGTCGTTTCCATCTTGATGTTTTTACTTGGAATGTCAGATTCCATCCGTTGAATAATATGAGAAACAACATACTTTGGTCTATTGTGCAGGAACTTTGGGATTTGTTTGCTATAGGACTTGTATGAATCGGATGATTTGATATTCTGTTCCTTATATCTATAAAGAGAAAATTGTAAGTACACTTATACTTTTTTGATTATCATTAAAGCTCACTGATTGCAAACGTCTTATAAAAAAAACAGTATGCACAATACTTTTTGTAGCTATCAGGCAGGAACTGTGTTAGTAATATATTGACGAGATCACTTATCGAATGATTTCGTCTGTCCTCTAAATATGAATGCTTTAACCAGTTATTTTGCCTTTCCACTCCGTTGTTTGTATAAATGGCAACGCGCAACGATTCATCCCTGTAAAAACGGACCCATTTCTAGAAAAGTAATGTATATATTTATATAGACACACATAGGTTAGGTAGTATCAGTTTTGAGCAGTTTAGCGTACTGATATTAAAACGCATGAAATAGAAGAGATTAATACCTGCAAGTGTAATCCCCAAAATTCATCAAAGTATTTCTGCAGTTGCAGCGATTCTTTCCACAGATGGCTGTTTTTCAATGCATCAATGTTTTTCTGTAATGCGATTTGACTTGTGCTATTTGCAATATTTCGCAGCAGTTGTAATAGCTCATGTTTGTAAAGATACGTTCCATTACTGCGCTTATTAATCCATTCGTTCCACGCCTTCTCTCGATGAAAATCGCAAACATGAATGTGTGTTTCTAACCCAAAAAAAACCCATTCATTAAGTAAGTAAGTTCGTCAAAAACATTTTCTTCAAAAAAGGCTATTGCTTTGTTTCGTCTTACTTGGAAAACACTGTTTGATTGCTCCAATTTCAGCTAATGAAAAATCAACCATTATGTTTTTAGGTTTCCACAGTGGATTCTCTTGACTGATGATGTTCAGGACTTCTGATATGGAATCCATGTCCTCATTTTGGGATATGAAGACAGCAACAACGATGTAACAAACATTTGATCGGACACATAAGAAAAACAACGGCAGTGCATACCTCAAAAGATGCGAATTGGAAAACTTTAAAACATTAACTTTCCAAGTGACAAGAAAATAAGGTATTTTGTATTACCTACATGTGCGATAAGTGGCATCCATTAAACACATTTCGTTCCCATAACGCAATAATAAGCGCTTCATCCAACAAGACTGATATACGAAAAGAAACTTCCTCTTCTCCAGACCATTTTCTTTCAAAAGCTAAAAAAAAAACAAGAGAATAAGTACATGTCAGCGTAGTTTATTTGAAACAGAGGCATTCAAAGGAAAAATAGTTGTGAAATTGTTGATATCGTTTTTTAAACCCATGCAGGGTTAATATTTTCCATAATACCTTACCCTTTAAAAGTTCAACTTTGACGTTACCTGACAAAATATAAAATCTTTTGGGAAAGCTTCACTCCATTCATCGCATTTTATTTGCAAATTTAATTGATCATCCTCTGCCTTTTTTTTTCCAATACGTGAAGTGTTTAATATATTTCGTATATCATTATCTGTTGGATAATACCGTCGACTTAATTCAGATGGTGGTTCTTGCCCGCGAAACAATTCCGTTTTGACAAAATTTCTCAAATGACGTCGGACTTCTGCGACACTTCGAACCCCCATAACATCCATTTCTCTTACTTTATTTACAATTTGAGGAAGGATTGGCTCGCGAAATTCTGCTTCCTATAAAAAGTCACTATAGTTATTCAATTTCCTATTAGCAATTTTCTCACGCAAAATTGACATTATCAACCCACTTTAATTCTTTAGTAGAGAATGGAAATGGTATTGATAGGCAAAAAGTGTTCATAGCACTGTACCTCGCCGTGTGTTACATGAAACATATGACTGTTTACTCCAGGAAGTTTTAGCAGAAAGAGATCCATTACATTGACTTTCTTGCCAGCTGACAGATCATTTTTTAAAATAGAACTTGCCGTTCTCATTTTCCTGTCTGGTTTTTTTCCATCGCCACTTACTTCAACCTGGAATTGTCACAAAAATGGACAAAATGACCTACTTATCTGAGAGAGCATTTGTTTTAGAGCTATACACCGCCTTACAATGCATATAACAATGCCTTCTTACCGCATACTCGGGAAATTTCAGAATTCTTAAAAGTACGACTTTGCTGGGACATCCTAGTTTTTTTGAAGACTGTAATAGCTTACGATGTTTCCGAAAGGTGTGATCATGATTCTGAAAATATTTTTTTATTTTACGTAAACAGAATTATCATCATGTTGCACTGTTGCAATAATATATGCATTAATTTTATACCTCTTTCATTTCTATAGCTCTCTGTCTATTTAGCTTTGTGTGTTCATCAATATCTTCACCTTGGTGACACTGATAATGCAGGCCACCGGCAGATATGAATGGCATTCCGTCGAAAGATAAGGAAACCCCGCAAGTTTTTGCGGTTGTGCTCCATCGAATTCTTTCAAATGAACCTTTCTCAGCGAGTATTTCGTCTGTAGTCTTGTCTATTAAACACTTACATCAGTTCATTCATGTCATCATTAAGTATTTGGTTCATACAAGTCATCATTAAATAGTTGGTTCATACATGTCATCATTAAATAGTTGGTTCATACATGTCATCATTAAGTCTTTGGTTCACACATGTCATCATTAAATAGTTGGTTCATACATGTCATTAAATAGTTGGTTCATACATGTCATCATTAAGTCTTTGGTTCACACATGTCATCATTAAGTATTCGGTTCATACATGTCATCATTAAATAGTTGGTTCATACATGTCATCATTAAATAGTTGGTTCATACATGTCATCATTAAATAGTTGGTTCATACATGTCATCATTAAATAGTTGGTTCATACATGTCATCATTAAATAGTTGGTTCATACATGTCATCATTAAATAGTTGGTTCATACATGTCATCATTAAATAGTTGGTTCATACATGTCATCATTAAATAGTTGGTTCATACATGTCATCATTAAATAGTTGGTTCATACATGTCATCATTAAATAGTTGGTTCATACATGTCATCATTAAGTCTTTGGTTCACACATGTCATCATTAAGTATTTGGTTCATACATGTCATCATTAAGTATTTGTTTCATACATGTCATCATTAAATAGTTGGTTCATACATGTCATCTTTAAGTACTTGGTTCACATGTCATCATTAAGTACTTGGTTCATACATGTCATCATTAAGTATTTGTTTCATACATGTCATCATTAAGTATTTGGTTCATACATGTTATCATGCTTTAATATTTAAAATTTAAACAAAAGTTCTGCTTTAATATATATATATAATTTTGTGAAAAATCTTTCTTCACCACTGCACAATAACCAAAAAGTAGTATATCTCTGGACAAGCGTATGCTTTCTGCATTGAAGTTATTATATAATATATACCTATCAACTTATTTCTGTTTAGACAGCGCCACCCACTGCGAGTTCGTTTTTAATAATCACCGAATACTTCCAGCATTTCTTCTTTGGAATTGCATATTACAATACCTTCGTCTAAACTGCTGTTGTTTTTTGCTTCACTCGCCGCATACTTCATTGGAAACTCCATTTTCGAAATAGCATTTGGCAACAATTCCATGATGATTTCCCGCGCTTTTTATGTTTAGATTCTCATAGAATATACGTATGGCAAGTTGCCATTTTACAATGTAGGAAAATATGAATTTTTTGTTGCTCGAAAAACATTTAGCCAAATGCATTGTATCTTCTCATATAACCATAAAATCAAGAAATGGTGCATTCAATGCTGTTAGGGAGGTGGGTGCATGGAAATTGAGCATTCTTCATGAAATTATGGATGGTCATTGCAGAGCACAGAGCACCCCAACCTGACAAAGATTTTTTGTTTAAAAAATTGATAAAGAAACTTGTTCATATTAAGTGGTAATATTGTTTGCAAACACTATGACATCATGCAATGACTTTTTACAATTACATTTCACTATTTGAGAGAGTTGCATCTAAGGCAAGTTATGTTCTACAGCACTGGGTCTATGCCACAAGCATAACAAAAGCAGGTGGGAGCCTTTTAAACTGTTCGAAAAATCCTTTGACAATGGAAGGAATCATATGCTCAAAGTTTTTTCTGAACAATCTGTTTTTCCATAATAGAATTTATTTTAGTGCTCAGAGATTCAATGTGAAAATTTTTGCCAGATATGAATGTAGAGAATACCCAGTGTTACATGTTAAGATATATTGTCACCATTTCTTGTAAAGTATTTTCAGGAACATATATGAATTAGCTACTGTGATTGATATCACAACTCAACATTTTATCTGGCTGCACCTGTACTAAGATCACCTATCAATTTTTCGTGATAAATCAATATGCTCAATTGAAAACATCCATTTCATTTAATGAGCACTTAAGTTAGATTGTGGTTCACTGTGTGGATGGCACTTCTGGAGACAATGAGTTTTCAAAATTTCCTGACAATAACTTTAACAAAGTTAAAAAAGTTGCCACACCTGTACATTAACTCAAATCAGAAAATTACAAGCAAGTATGGACAAACAGTGAAACACATTAAACACACAAACTTTATATTATTATGCAGGAAGTTTGGAAAAAAATTTGAAGATACGAATCTAGATAGGTGTGTTTATCATGTATGTTGTATCTATAATAATTTTTATTAGTACTACAAATAACAGGAAAATATTTAATATCATATCTATAATACAAATAGAGTCCATTTCTACTTTATAACATTACTTTGTTGTCCTTAAGTCCAGTAAATCTGCAATTTTTGAAGTACGGTTATTATATTGTAAAGTACTATCAATCCATTACTTCTGCAAGGCAGACATTTCAAAGAAAGTACATCTCACCAAAATTGAATTGAAATCTTTGTAATCTTTTCTCGCTTTCTCTATTGCCAATTTGCCTTATTGCCATATGCAAACGCAATGTGTAGTGCGGTAAAATCATTCTTATAATGAATACATGAATATTCGTCAATTGCTACCTACCGCTGACATAATAAGAATAATATGTGGGCGCGTACGTTAGTTGACCATGATCTAGTGCCGACCCGGATTTTGGTTGTCAAAACTTCCACTTTGAGAAAAATTTTTAACATTCGCTCCCTCCCGAAACCGGAACTCTAACACTGCTCAAAGTAATGACAACCAGCGAAAACAACCACGATACCGCAAGCATAAAATATTGTAAATAATGCTTCAGGTTTTTGTGAAATAGACACACACATTTAAATGAGGTAAATCTACTGTAAAATAACGTATATTTTGTCAAGTAATGCTTTAGCTATGTTAGAAATAAATATCAAACGGCATTCTTTACACTGTCAATGTGTTGTTAAGCTTTAATGCATAATCCCATGCGCAATACTTGTGTTTTTGACTGTTTGTGAACAGCTTGGTGCAACTGTCTTTCTTGAATAGATGGGTAAATCTTACTTAAAATGTCCAAAAAGGAGTTAGAAAAGTTAGCTTACCCCTACGACTTAAGTCAACTGGAAATATATTATAAGTAGGTATGTAATTTTTTTGAGTTTTTTTTGGTAGGATTGATTCTGGGTGTCTTATAAAGTATTATGATATTCTGATAAAGGAGAGCAAAAGAACGAAATTCAGAAATTCTATAATCATGTTGCTGGTTCTGTTTTGAGCCAAGATATTAGAAAACGGATTGTTATTGACAACCATGGATCTACTACTGAACAGAACTACATTAATTTCCCATTGAAAATACTATTTCTTAAATCAAAGTGCATTGGTTTCTCTGACGTAACACTTTTCTTATTGCTGCGTGAAGGCAAACCTGTTTAAATAATTATAATGTAGGTGAAGATATTTAGCATGTTGTATAATTGTTATTATACAGACATTATTTATAATATTATGGCCTTGTGTAATGTATGTCAAAAACTTATTAATTCTCAAAAATGCTAACCTTCTTGCACTACTTTTCTTATGTGTCCTTACAAATTACTAGTACCTATACTAATTTTTTCTAGGTTCAAACAACTTGACAAATTTTTGAATTTTACATTATGCCTTTGAATTGTTCTTTTTGTCTTTTGGTAAAAATATCAGTGAATGACTTAAAAATCAAGTTTATCTAAAATAGTATTTTGTACAAAGTAACTACACATAATTGGAAAAGTCTCATGTTGAAGACAGATGTCGCTTCTTTTACTAGATTGCTACTCTTATTGTTTTAAATGATATCGTAATTCTTCAAAAGACATAAAAAGTTCTTTGCCATCAATTTTTGCTTCTTCCACATTCAACTTCATTGCAACCAATGCATCTTATGTGAATTTTTAATCACCTGGAATTGAAAAACGTATGGATTTTGTCAGACGATGCAGTACTATATTTAATGTTTCATGCATGTCATGATAAGCTTTTCTTGAGCAAATATTTCAAGGTAGGAGCAAAATTTGGCACATTATTGAACAAAGTAGTTTTTATCTTGATTTTGATGTACTAACCTGTTTACTACACTGTGTAACAAACAATTCATTTACAGAAACACCAGATGGCATTTATAAAACTTTTAGCATAAAGCAAACCTTTACACACCATCATCATGATTGTCCATAATCTGTCAAATTGTCCAGGCTAGCTGTTTAATACAGGTATTTTTTATTGTACGACATGTACCAAAGAGCTCATTAATTAATCCTGCACTGCATTTGATTTTAATACAGCTCTATCCTTAATATTTGCTTCATATTTTCAGAAAAATATCATGAAAAAATCCTCCATTTCAACTCAGTTGAAACAAGGAGTTTTAAGACATGCATATCAGCATATCTCGATAAGAACTGGTTGCTTTGCCTCGTCTAGCAAGCGATTAAGTAAAGAACAAATAAGACCGGATAAACATAACTTAAATTATAACTTAGGAGTAAAAACATTCACAAAATATATGCCATCACACTTCAAGTATTGACTTAAAACAAAACACTGAACACTTTAAATAGTAAACAATCTTACGTTGCTGCTTACCGGTGTCATGAAATATTTCCTTTTCTGGCATTACTTCAGCATCCGTATACCAAACAAGTTTGCAGCATGTTTTAAAGATAAAATTTCTAAAGTTTTTGTGCTTGGCATTGATATTTTATATAATCGCAATTGTGGTTGTCAAATCCGGGTGTGCGAAAAAAATTTCATTTTATGAGCCCGCGTCTTTCCGCTGACTTTGACAACCAAAATCCGCCATGTTTTTGACCTCGCGGCCGCGCGCTAATAATTTATAGCAATTTGGTTGACGTTTCCCCTCCAGGTCTTATAGAACTCAATGGTAAAATCAGATCAATATTAAGTGTCATTAAGTGCATTTCTTTGTTCAATTAGTTGAGAACTTGCGGCGATTGGTCGATTTGGTCACATGACATCCCATTACGCAAAGCGGCACGTGCCTGACTGCCTGTTGCCGATGTATGTAGTCGCGTGGCGTGTTTCTAAACTTGTTGTGCTTTGTTGAAGTGCATTTAAGCGTTTAAACTTTTTTATTGTGGACAAAATGGAAATGAACAAACAATCATCTGTCGCTGACGTTATTCTTTTTTGAAAAACAACAAATTGGATGAAATTGTCAAAGATTTTAAAGGTATTGTCTCATCCTGAAATGTAGGTCGCATGTGTGAGGGTTGTTGTCTCGTGCATAAATCTAGTGTAGAAAATAATTCAAAATTAGATTTATAGATGACTTACCTTGTTTACGTTTTGCTAGCAGGCAGATTTGGTCGAGCGCTTTTAGAGAATGCCAACAGCAATAACGTAATTTCATTGACGTTTTGCTTCTTATATTTTTAAAGCTAATCAAGTCGACGGCGAGGATTTTTTCAATTTAGAACCACATGATATTTATCAGATGATTCCTCGAATAAAACTTCACAAGAAGTTTACGTGTATTTGGAATGACGTTACTCAAAAGGTAAATTGAAGCCTTACAGGTTTTCTACATAAAATGGTTTAGGTATGGTTTGAAGTATCAGGCATGTTAGCCTAATGAGAGGGTAATATTCATATGTGCATGGTATACTTTACTAGATTCTAGTACTATAAGCAATTTTAATTCAACAGATTATATGTAGCATATGAATTTATGAATATGAGTTTTTTGCCAATTATTAATCTGCCGCTGTCCATGAGTATGTATGCTGTAGCAAAACTGTCTGTTGAATCACAATTACTTAGAGAAAGATAATTAGTTTTTTGGTTGAATTTTTTCCAGCTGAAAGCAGAGTTAGGACATATTTTGGAGAAGAGTGATGTTGTGCAAGACATGAAGGAAAGATGGAATTTGCACAAATATAAAATGCTGTCTGTTATTAAAAAGACAAAGCAAAAGAATGTCAGCAGTATCCTTGAAGAGCTGGAGGATTGTCCAGTTGAAGATGAGAAAGGTTGGTGTAAAAATCAATAAGTTAAAATCCCTATTTATACTGAAGTGTTAATGCTTTAGAGAGTGATAATGGTAATATATTCATTCTATGCTATGTTGATTATTTTAGAGGTCAAGAACTGCTGTATAATGGCATGTTTGCCTTATGTGTTAGATGACCAATGCACCCATCGAGATATGAACAAAAAGCTATTTTGGGACATTGTTGATGTAAGAGTTGATATTGTCACAAATAATATTTTCTGCATAAATGTGTGAAAAAATTGATAAATAATTTTATCTCTGTTGAAGGGTAAAAGCTTGGGGGAAGTTCAAGAGATCATTAACAAAAGTTCGTCTCCTAGACTCCTATCAACAGGAACATTAAGAAACATTCATTCAATAATGTTGGTGGCTGAGGGATGATTGTGGCAAAGCTGAAAACGGAAAATATTGTCAACGCAGTTATTATTTTACTTAGTTCTTTTATACTTTTAATGCTGAGTATCCTAAAGGCGTTAATGGACATTGCAAAATGTATTTATTCTTTTAGAACATTTGCTTTTAAATTCAAATGCAATTGTAAGGCTCAATTGCCAACTTTTGTCGATCATTTTATTTCTTCTATGAAGTAGAAAACTTTTGTAGTGTTAATTAATGGCATGTAGTAGAGATTTTAAGTATTCTGTGTTTGCAAAAAATGTGCTATTTATAATTGTGTGATTGATTTTCTTTAGCTTAGTTAAAAAGATCCTCTATATTGGTCAAATGGTCATGGATATGCACCTGAAAAAAATGCTTATTTAATGGTAAAAACAACCAAATAAAATTGGTCAAATAAATTGGTAAATTTAACCTTTTTGTTTTTGGTATTTTGACCAATTTAGGAATTGGTTGTTTTGACCTATAAAAATTGTTCTTCTCAGGTGCATTCAAATGACCAATTTTTTTTGGTCATTTTGACCAATCTATTTTTACTGTGTAGAACATTGGATTCCAGGGTTAGAAAATTACTTGATCATAAAACTAAATGGCATTTTCAAATCTTGAAAAAGTTTGACGTAAAATAATATTAAATATATAATTTTATTTTGACTATGTTGATTAAATCTACTTCATTCAGTAGCTAAATAATTGCAGGCTACCAACATGTATGAATTGCATTTTTTAAATGTATGCCATTGTATTTAATAAACGCAGTGTTTTGGGAGATGTACCCAAAAGCCAAGAAATGAAAAGAAACGTGAATATTCATGATAACTACGATAAATAATGTTATGACAAATGGCTTCACTTGGCCCCAAATGTGGACACTGTTTTTTTTCCAAACCAAAACGAAATGGGAGGGAAAACTGGCGGATCCGGTAAAAAACCCTCCAATAAAAGAAAAATAAAAAATTTAGAAGAATTGCCTCAAATTTTTGTAGTGTTTTATGATGTTTTATATTTTTGTTGTTTTCAATGATCCCGATGATCTACTTTAACATGCAGCGTAGTCAGATCGTGCGTCTTATACAGTCGTATAAAAAATTTAAATTTACGGAGCAATAAAAATGTGGGCTGACTACCCTATTGACACAGCAAATATTTTTTGTTCGTACAAAAGAAACGCAAACTTTTGTAGAGCACAAAAATGAAATAGTGCAGTGTTAACAAAAATTGTAATCAACAGACGAAAAACGAAAACTAATAGCAGCCATATATAAATCATGTATAAAAATTATTCAATACGTAGGGACCTGACCATTCAACTGCCCATAACAATTAAAAATGAAATGACTAAAGAGACGTTATGACTTGCATAAAAATGATTTTTGATGTCTGCTAGACTTTTCCGTTAAATCTTTCTATGTTGCCTCATTAATTGATAGCTGGCTTTCACTCGTGTCTTTTGTCAGAAAATTAAACAATTGTGAACATTTAGTTATACGGAATTTTTAACGGTCGAATTTGAAAATGCGTTATACTGATAGACATTATGGATAAATAAATTAGCAAGTGTGAATCTTATAATAACGACGTTTGTTTCTTGGTGTTTCTGCCCGACTTCGTCGTTCATTCATTGTCCAGTTAGAAGGCCTACAGACATAGCTACTCTATAAAAAACACGTTATAAATGTCAGCATAATGAAGGAACAAAAACAGAAATTAATTATATTGAAAAGAACAAAACTTTAATACCTGATTTCCAAGGGTTGTCCTGGTCAGTTTGATCCAGGCGACTTGGTCGGTCTCTTCCTTTTTTTTCACCGCGTAGTTTTTACGTTGTATCGTTGAAATTAATTGTAAAATTTTTATCTTAGTAATTCAATGAACCCTACTTGCATCATTGCAATTTTCTTAATAAACGTTAAATAAAATTACTAAAAAGTAGCGAGTGAAAGCCAGCTATTTTCTCACAGCAAGTGACATCTTTTATCGACACTTTTTAAGTTGGGTGTTTTTCATGGTTAAGTTTCAAATTATAAAGATAGACCATCAGGATCCTTTTTAACTATCTCATGCAGTTACTCATACAAGTTAATTTTAACACTTATATCTACTCAACTTACAAACCACAAGATATAGATCGTGTTTTTCCACTCGCTTGTTTTCCATCTTCGTAGAATGTAGTCCATTTTTATAGTGCAATCACTTCAATGTAAATGTTCATACGTACATATGCCGTTATGCGATGTCCATTCAACATGTCGATACCATTCCATACACGAAGTAAGGAGCATCATCAACCAATAAAGAAGCTACTGATATGATGAATCGCCATTTTGATAGACAACAATTCACAATGCACTGTTATGGTAACTTCAAGCGAAGGAAAAGGGACCGCCCTTCAATACCCCAGTTTTATCATTACTCAAAGAATGCTTAGTGCAGAGTTGATCTTCTGTGAGTATCAGTTGACCACTTTTAAGTGGGTTCATATAACAATGGGGCCCATCATCATTATATGAACAAACAACTGACATCAACAAAGAATCCAAACTACAATGAACATTCTTGGCCATGAATCACCATGACACATGAGTAATGACAAACTAGTAAGAGTAATTGAAGTGAATGACACAGGTGGTAAAGGGACTTTCACAACTCCATTCTTGTGGGATCTACAATATAAGAAAATATGAAACACATGTATGAGATTTCATGATGAATAACTCTGCATATGACGTTAGTTTGCGTTTTAAATTCTTAATCAGATATATTGAGAATGAGCAAATTGTTATATGTTTTCTGTTTGACTATTTAAACGGTAGAACATTCACCTTCATTGCACGAATAGCTTTAGTGAGTTGAGTTTGAACGATGTAACAAGTTTCACAAGATCAAAGGCTTATAATCGTGATGAAAGCATTTTACAGTGAAAGCTTTCAAATTACGAGGCCAACACTAAGACCAGTTCATTATCCCATGTAACTCATACTTCAGTATTCGTCAGTAAAAAGATAGGATTTACCTTTCTTCCTACAACGTTAAAGTGAGTAATTTTCTGTTGAAGTAAAACACACGAACATGTTTTAATTGACGTCAATTATTATAATTGTTAGGATCATGTCACCTTTCACAAAGACAACAAGTAATCCTTCAATGCGTTTTTAAGGCCTGTTTCAAACATTGCATTTTGCATGTGCCGAATGTATTTAAGACAAAAGATAATAAGGAATTTTATCTCATTATCTTTTGTTTTAAATGCATTGGGCGCATTAAAATGCAATGTTTGAAAGGATTACTTGTTGTGAAAGGTGACATGCTCCTAAGGAGCCAATCACAATAATAATTTTAGTTATGACGTCAATTAAAGAAACGTTAACATGTTTAAATTCGTGTGTTTTACTTCAACAGAAAATTCAAAGTCAAATGACTACCGCTAAGGTTGTTGAAAGTTAAATATTCGCTGTGCAAATTATTTACCATCCAGTCATAGTGGACTTTGCTCTAAGAAACTTGACAATTTACAAGGTGTAAATACTGTGAAATCAACTCTAAAATCTCGCAAAAAACTTTTTCTCAATGACCAATGAACGAAAACGGTCACTTTCAATTTCGCGTTGGAAATGGGCTCTTGGTAGATAAATGAAAAATGTGCCACAGGAAAACAAATAGTAAAATATCTTCGCAAAGTGAAAGTTTTAATGAGAAAAACATGTTATTTTATCATTATGAAAATGTTATCTATGTTCTTTTCACATGCTTTCCTTGACTTTGAAAAATGTTCAAAAAACAATAATTTTACATGGGTAAACAAAGAAATTGTTCCCGTGAGATGAAACGTAACATGTAAAATTTACATTCCATCTTTACTAAATGATGTTTGTCGAACGGCTGCTGTACATTTAGGATGAGAGAGAACTTTCTGCCTGCGTGGGAATTAAACAAATAAAATTACATTAAGATGATGTATGTTGTTACCATTGAACATGGAACGCTACCTGAAGCAAATAATTAAAGCCAAATCTTACATCCAGACACGCGAGATTACACGCAAACACGCGTGTTTAGTGTTTCGAGATTCTCTCGCGGAGTGAAAATTGATTGACTACACGTGTCCCCCGCAGTCCTCGTCATCACCAGGACCATCCATTAAGACAAACGTAAAGGTGGTTTCCAGTCCATTTCCTCTTCATCCTCCGAACTGCAATTGAAGAAGACAGCTACTCAAAACTTTAGAGAAGATTGATTGTTTTTTATTTAAGATGTTTACAGTGTTTGTACAGGATTATGAAAAGGAGACCTTTGGGAGAACTCGATCAATGATGACCAGAGTCAAAGGCTTGTACCTGCTCCAAAGTTCTCACAAACGTCTCCGAGGTTTGCATAAGCCTGTGTAAACACGAAAAACATCTTTTACTTCTTTTATAAAACAACGATAATACAAAACAGACAAATTAAAAACAATGTTTTTCCCGTAACATGTATTCATGATTGATTTGGAAATTTTCTTAGATTGATTTCAATAGATTGAGCTCAGATAGGTTCGCTCATGCCAAGTTTGCTAATGTTAACTCAACTATAGACAAATCAACGCACGCATTTTTCTGTCTTTATTTTATAAACAAAAATGGATACTTTTACCTTTGGGAATCATGTTGCTCTTCATCATCTTTCCAAAATGGCTGTGACATTGATATTGATTCTTTATCTTCATCAATATCTTCATCATGTTCATCATCACTACCTTCTCAATAAACAATAAAATAAAAAAGATTGATTGAAAAACTTCATATAAGAGAAATTTTACTAAACATAAATGCAACTGTACACAATCACCATTGATATCCATGTCTAATTATGGTAGTTTTGATCTCAATACAATATTCATATAATGGAGTGTTCAGTCTTACTTTGTGAGCCCGCAATATGAGAATATTCATGCAGCAGTGTTTCATTGTCATCCTTATCCAAACTCATTAAAATCTCCACCAATTCTTTATCCAACTCTCCAGCTAAATAAATGTCTTATATTAACAAAAATTTAAGTCCTTGAGAGAGAAAAAATTATTTTTGGTGAATAATACATGAATTGCTGGCCTGGCTGGCTTGTAGTACATCTTTAACTGACTGATCAACAACTGGACTATCCACACCCACATCTAAAAGAGAAGAAAATAGAAATAATCTATTGTATGATTATAACTTGAAATAAGTTGCCAAAAATCATCAGAACCTTGGTTTATTGCTGCTTCACACTGCAGTTGCTTGCCTTGTGACAAAATACTTTGAGACAATTCTTTAAAGTCTTCGGGTGAAAGAGATTTTTCCATTGTGTCCAACTCACTTTGACTGCAAGTTTATTTGAAGTTTATAAAAACATAAAGTTAAATCATAAAACATCACAAGATCATATCTTACATCACTTTGTTTCGTTCATCAATAATTTCTTTGATTCTTTGTTTAAATTCTTTCTCAAGATTCAATACAGGTGTTTCAATACCAGTGTGCAAATTAACGGTGTGCAATGTGCAATTTACACATCGTTTTAGCTAAAATGAAAACAGTTGCACATCACTTTTTCAAACGATATGCAAAAAACTTCATTATTGATTACTACCACATAAATTGAAAAAAGTTTTCAAGCTTAATCTTTACTGATCTTTACTTTATAAACGAGTGCGCTGCACGACATTAAAATCCATGTTGACACAATGTCATCAAATTCAAAGACGTTGTCACTTTGAGACTGGTAAGTCTGTCTACAGTCAACATACATGTTGCTTACATGCTTATGACAATAGGGATGTAATACATTATTAATGTCAATTTTTGCATTTGCGATGTTTTGTAAACCGTTACGTACTGTTACCTGCAGCGCCTCACGTCCTGTTTTGCAGAGGCTAACCAGCTCTTCGGACTCGACGTCAGCTTGAAAAGACGGAAGTCCTCCATCAGCCCGCACCTTGGGCAGAGTACCGCCCTCCTCACATTACCATCGGCGAGACTGAGCTGAAAAGCGTTCACCAGTTCACCTACCTGGGGTGTGTTATCACATCAGATGCGAAGATCGACAGGGAGCTCGAGAACAGACTGGCCAAGGCAAGCAGCGCTTTTGGCAGACTGTATAACAGAGTGTGGAACAACAATTCTTTGAAGAAATGCACCAAGATCAGCGTGTACAGAGCCTTCGTACTCACCACCCTCTTGTACGGCTCTGAGTCGTGGGTAATCTACCGTCACCACCTACGCCTCCTTGAGCGCTTCCATCAGCGCTGTCTCCGCACCATCCTCAACATTCACTGGAGTGACTACTTCACCAATGTTGATGTCTTCAAACAGGCGGAGATCACCAGCATCTAGGCCATGCTACTGAAGTCGCAGCTACGTTGGGCAGGGCACGTTTCCAGAATGGATGATCAGCGCCAGCCCAAAATTGCCTTGTATGGCGAACTTTCCACTGGCCACCATGACAGAGGGGCACCGAAGAAACGCTACAAAGACTCTCTGAAGAAGTCCCTCGGAGCCTGCCATATCGACCACCGCCAGTGGTCTATTCTTGCTGCTGACCGTGATGCCTGGCGTCGTACTGTCCACCAGGCTGTCTCCTCCTTTGAGGACTCTCGTACAGAGAACTTGAAGGAGAAACGCCGCAGGAGGAAGAACCGGGAAGCTTCAGCAGCCTTACTTGACGTGACCTTTGACTGTAGCCGCTGCGGCCGAACTTGTTTGTCTCGCATCGGACTTGTCAGCCACGAGCGTGCCAGTAGTCGACGTGGACAGCGTGCCTGTAGTCGACGTGGACAGCGTGCCTGTAGTCGACGTGGACAGCGTGCCTGTAGTCGACGTGGACAGCGTGCCTGTAGTCGACGTGGACAGCGTGCCTGTAGTCGACGTGGACAGCGTGCCTGTAGTCGACGTGGACAGCGTGCCTGTAGTCGACGTGGACAGCGTGCCAGTAGTCGACGTGGACAGCGTGCCTGTAGTCGACGTGGACAGCGTGCCTGTAGCCGACGTGGACAGTGTGCCTGTAGTCGACGTGGACAGCGTGCCTGTAGTGGACGTGGACAGTGTGCCTGTAGTCGACGTGGACAGGGTGCCTGTAGTCGACGTGGACAGTGTGCCTGTAGTCGACGTGGACAGTGTGCCTGTAGTCGACGTGGACAGTGTGCCTGTAGTCGACGTGGACAGTGTGCCTGTAGTCGACGTGGACAGTGTGCCAGTAGTCGACGTGGACAGCGTGCCTGTAGTCGACGTGGACAGCGTGCCAGTAGTCGACGTGGACAGCGTGCCTGTAGTCGACGTGGACAGTGTGCCTGTAGTCGACGTGGACAGCGTGCCAGTAGTCGACGTGGACAGCGTGCCTGTAGTCGACGTGGACAGTGTGCCTGTAGTTGACGTGGACAGTGTGCCTGTAAACGTGGACAGCGTGCCTGTAGTCGACGTGGACAGCGTGCCTGTAGTCGACGTGGACAGTGTGCCTGTAGTCGACGTGGACAGTGTGCCTGTAGTCGACGTGGACAGTGTGCCTGTAGTCGACGTGGACAGCGTGCCTGAGGTCGACGTGGACAGTGTGCCTGTAGTCGACGTGGACAGCGTGCCAGTAGTCGACGTGGACAGTGTGCCTGATGCGTGGACAGCGTGCCTGTAGTCGACGTGGACAGTGTGCCTGTAGTCCACGTGGACAGTGTGCCTGTAGTCGACGTGGACAGCGTGCCTGTAGTCGACGTGGACAGCGTGCCTGTAGTCGACGTGGACAGCGTGCCAGTAGTCGACGTGGACAGCGTGCCTGTAGTCGACGTGGACAGCGTGCCTGTAGCCGACGTGGACAGTGTGCCTGTAGTCGACGTGGACAGCGTGCCTGTAGTGGACATGGACAGTGTGCCTGTAGTCGACGTGGACAGCGTGCCTGTAGTCGACGTGGACAGCGTGCCAGTAGTCGACGTGGACAGTGTGCCTGTAGTCGACGTGGACAGCGTGCCTGTAGTCGACGTGGACAGTGTGCCTGTAGTCGACGTGGACAGTGTGCCTGTAGTCGACGTGGACAGTGTGCCTGTAGTTGACGTGGACAGCGTGCCTGTAGTCGACGTGGACAGTGTGCCTGTAGTCGACGTGGACAGTGCCTGTAGTCGACGTGGACAGTGTGCCTGTAGTTGACGTGGACAGCGTGCCTGTAGCGGACGTGGACAGTGTGCCTGTAGTCGACGTGGACAGCGTGCCTGTAGTCGACGTGGACAGCGTGCCAGTAGTCGACGTGGACAGTGTGCCTGTAGTCGACGTGGACAGCGTGCCAGTAGTCGACGTGGACAGCGTGCCTGTAGTCGACGTGGACAGTGTGCCTGTAGTCGACGTGGACAGTGTGCCTGTAGTCGACGTGGACAGCGTGCCAGTAGTCGACGTGGACAGCGTGCCTGTAGTCGACGTGGACAGTGTGCCTGTAGTTGACGTGGACAGTGTGCCTGTAGTCGACGTGGACAGCGTGCCAGTAGTCGACGTGGACAGCGTGCCTGTAGTCGACGTGGACAGCGTGCCTGTAGTTGACGTGGACAGCCCCCTTCATAAAATCTTCGTTCGCGAAGCCAAGCCAAGAGACGTACTGTTTTTTGGCATCATAGCTATTTTGAGTATTTTCAGTAAAATCAGGAAACATTTTGATTTTGATTCTTAAAAGAAGACAAAAAAAAACTAAAATAAGCCAAATTTGAAAAATAAACCAAAGGGAATTTCGATTTTAAATAAGTCTAACTTGAGAAAAAGAAGCGAAATTTGGCTCAAATTATTAAGCCAAACTGGCAACCTTGAATAAATATGATGTTTTTTATCGTAAGTAAACATCAAGGACGTTACTGTTAATAATCAGAAAGAAAAAGTATATTCGCTTATTCTCTTTTCACTTTTGCACAAAAAAAGAGGAGAGAATAGCATGCGCAAAAAATTGCTCTCGTACATTTGTAACTGGATCATCGGTTTTAACGAAAAACACTGTCGTAAATCATATGAATTTGTTCACGTTTAAAAATATGAATTTAGCAATTAGCGCTGTGTAATAAATAACGTAGTATCGACTTCATTATGCCAACTAAAGAAACACTTTTGTCAAAAAAATTGCACATCGTTTTTTCTCAACTAATTCGCACACTGAATACGATCTAACGACAAAAAAAGTTGAATTTTTACCAACGTATTGTTAACTGTTAAGTAAAAGAAAATTAATAAAGGAGCAGTTGTACACATCTTCATGTAACGATGACAATGTTTAAACTTAAGAAAACATGAAATTTTATGCACTAGAAAACAGCTGCATTTTGGGATATATAAGTCAGAGCCTCATAAATCATAAATACCATGACAATATAAAATACATGAAATGTATTTTTTGTACCTTACCTTGTGAAACAGGAAGAGCAACTTGTGAAGATAGTCCATTATCTCATCTTCGTTGTCTTTCATCTTCCCACATAGCAGTTATACCAGGATTATGACCAATACAACCTTCATAAACATAATAAACTCATTAAAGATGTATAAACAGTAAAATGAAGACATAAAGATAAGTAAATTTTACTTTCAACATTTATTTGATTCAAGATGTCTTCAGCAATTACATCAACTTCAAGTTCACAACGACTGACTTTTTTCACAGTAGGATCCAGGCATAAATTTCTTAATAATGACAAATAACAAACATTAAAATGATGAATATCAACTGTAAAGATAGTTATCACAAAGAATCATTCCAAAGTTAAACTAATTTTTTAAATGTAAATTCTGTAATCTGGATTAAGAATTGACTCTAAATCTTGGGATAAATCATACGCACATGTGTCAAATTTAGGATTAAGGATTTACATAAATCCTTTTGGTTTAAATTAATCTTCAAGTGTAAAATATATGAATCAGACAAACCTAGGAATAGTGTCTTCATTCCAGTGTTGAGATGAAGGAAAATTGAGAAATGAATTTGGAGATGAACCATGAAGTGGAATTGATTTATTATTATATGAAAGATTTTTATCTATAAAATTCAATTTGATGGTAAATAATCATTTGTGGTGTTAGATTTTTATAGAATGCTGAAAAAATCAATAATGAAACTTTCCTGTTTTTGAAGAAATTCCTCTAAAATGAACTTTTCTTAGATGAAGTAAGTTCATACCATAAAGATCGTAATCAATTAGAAACTAAAATAAAAGATATTTCAATATAATTCTTATAATGTAACTTAGTGAAAATCTATAGAAGTTGACCAACCAGGTAGGAAAAGACTAAAGAAGGTCAGTGGCATTAGTTTTGAATGACATTTTAACATTGTTACCAGTAATCATCTCATCTAGACGTGAAAACATCAATCAAGACTACCCTCAACAGTCCTTCTCAATACTGTAGTATCCTTTATGATCAACATCAACAAACATGCAGCTATACTTCCACAATGTGTTCAACCCATTCACTTTATCGACAAAAGGTTTTTGCATATGAAATTTACACCTATAATCCATAATGGAATGTTTGGGAACCTGAGATCTGATGTATAATTATAGCAAAGTGGGCACCTATACATGCAAATGTTGCATCTCTGATGTCAGTAGAAAAGTCAGCCATTTTATACTCCTATGTACAATACAAATATTGCTTTAATCAATTACTTTGAAAAACAATGAATGAGATTAATTTCTAAAGAAATAAACAACAAACTTCGCAAGCCTTCCCCCTGTCTGGTGCACAGTTTACAAACTAACCACTCCAGTCTGGGTTATAACAATCAAAGATGTGTTTTTTGCTCATTAATAATAAAAAACAGAAATTACCTGTAGAATATAAGGAACATGAGCTTCGTGCGGTTGAATTGACTTGTTCAATATAGCTCCATTCTGAAGAAGATCAACAAGTCTGAAAAAAATGAAAAATTTTGATGCTGTTTTATGTTAGAACAACATGAAAAATATATCTTACTTGGGAATTATTCTTGGATTGTACAACTCCATCTTAATAAACTCTTCTTCGTTCTCATGATACCCATAAAATGGTCTAAAAAATAAAATCATTTCGGGTGAATAATATTGAAACGTTATTGGGTCGAAAATAGAAGATTTTGTATTGTGATGTAAAGAAGAGAGTAAAAAGGATTTAATAATAGTAAGCTTTGTCAACATGAGGAGAAAACAAGGAAAATAACTTACATTTTTTTAACAATTTCAGTTTTATGAACGTATTTCATAGAAGATGATGTTCTACCAAACGCAACTTGAACAGCAAAGTCTGCACTTGTCGTAAATTGTTTCAGATATTTATCTGTGGGTTTAGTTCCATCGTAAGGTATGTATAAGTAAGGAAATACTTGATGAATATGAACACAAGTTTTCTGTCCACCAGGAGTTGAGCCAAATATCGTCAAAACTGGAACACGGTTAACATTCGCCTCGCGAAATTTAGAAAACAAAATATCTAAGCCATCTATAGGTTTTCCCACGTAAAAATCTGCATCTACAGTCCTAACAGAATACATTCTGTTGTTCCAAGTAAGAAAATATATCGTCAATTAAGATTTTTGAAAGACGAAAGACGAGAGTTGAATCCGCCATATTTGTTTTAGATTATAGATTAGCCAATCAAAGGTTTTATAATCAAACCCTTATACCAAGTCATCGTAATCACCTTTTTGGGATTAGATGGGGTTTAGAAATTTTCCAAAGGTGAGCATGACTTTATAGACCTCGCTAGAAAGGCTCACGCGTTTGACGTTAGAAAATATGCTCCCCAGAAGTTCATGTCTTTCTTCATGTCTAACTACGACACTGCATGTAAAGGATTTCCGCTTTCGTCGAGCAAAATAATGTCCGCATCCTGATGTTTTGGTCCTGTACACCCATGTCAATACTGAAAATTAATAATAGTTAAATGTGTACAACATTTATGAGTTGATTGAGTTGAACTGAAATTGAATTTGCAATAAAATTTCTAAATCAATCCCTGTCGTATATATTTCAATTATAGCTAAAATATAAAATTTGCTCATCTCATTTTATCGTCTCGCTGTTATGAACAGAATTCAATATTTTACAATAAAAACAGCAGGTGATTAAAATTGAACATTTAGTGAACATTCCAATTTCTTTATCATCAAACAGAAGCAAAGGCATCACGTAGCTGGTTGCGTCGTCTTATATATTTCTAAATTTGTTAAGGTATGTTGATTATGAAGTTCACCTGTCATACTGTCATTGTTTGTTCTTATGTCTAGAATTTTGTTATATTTGTCATAAAAAACCTGAATGTCATTTTCGTGGTGGAATTCACACTTCATATGTTTTATATTGATACATCTGTTGACTTTGGTGGGATTTTCCAAATAACACATTGGATAATTTATCATTTCAAAATACTGACCTTTCTTGCATTGTCACCAACAATTAATTTCACTAGTCTTTTCAAATATCATTGGTACGGCAGGGCTAAAAAATCAACAAAATGAATCAAAATTATGACACGTCACAGAATTTCAGTATATGCATATCATAAATGCGGAATGATTTTAACTTTATCTAACATGGCTTTTATCAAGAAGAACTTTTTCGTCATTTATATAGTCATCTATCTATTTATCTTATTCCTACCACAGATGATGACATAAAAACGTTTTGCTAGGTATGTCTTTAGAAATTGCGCCTACTTGGAGTGAAAAGCGCACATCTTCACGTGATAGTACACGTGATTTTTTCCTGGTCTATAATTTTTACACTTGTTGTAAGATAGACTATTTAAAATATTTGTTTGCGTCAAAAGTTCACAAAATGACTAAACTTTGCATGAGGAACTGTCAAGTCCAAACGCTATCAACTTTGAAGTATCTCTGATTACTGAGATGTGACAAAATTATTCAAAATTAGAGACTTCGAGATTAATTACTCTGAAATTTCCTGTTTAAATAAAGACTGCCCCTAAAATCTTGACTCCTCCAACTTTTAATTGCTTCTCACGCCCCTGATCAAATTATTTGTTTATCCGGATCAAAAGTTTACAAAATGACAAAACTTCATTGACCACGTTTCAAAGTTGGAACGCTGACAATTTCAGAAATGCTCTGTTTATTGATTTTATTGACTTCTTGAATTTTAAATCTTAATTTTTGATCTTTCTTTTTTGTAAAATGCTGGCTGCCCCGTCTTCCTTTATGATTATTTCAGTTAGTTTGCATGTAAGTCAGGATGTTCAATAATTGAAATAAATTATAGTAAACTGTGAAAGGTTTATTGGCATAAAGCTTCCAAGTCAAAACTTCTTTGTGTTTAATTCAGTCATAGCTAAAATAAAAAATTTGCATTTCATATTTAATTGGGTATGAACAGAATTCAATATTTTACAATAAAAACAGCAGGTGATTAAAATCAAGCATTTATTGAACATTCCAATTTCTTTATTATCAAGCAAAAGCAAACACATCATATAGTTGGTTGCGTCGTTTTTAATCTTTTCGAAATTGTGAAGGTATGTTGATTTTAAAGTTTACTCGCCGTTATGTATTGGTGTATTCTAACCTTCTGATTTAATGTTTTGTGCCCATGTATCAATTGTTTTGTTTTGATGTCACGAACATTGTAGTTAAATATAACTTATAAATTAGTGTTATGTATGTTTTATATGGATAAATTTCTTTATTTTGGTGGGATTTTCAAACAAAGATAAATTTTGGATACATTACACGTGGAAAATACGACTTTTCTCACATCAATAGCAATTTACTCCAATCGTTTATTTCAAATTATATTAATACAGCAAAGTTTATTAAATTAATGTGTTTAGTCAAAATAATGACACGTCAAAGTGTTAAGAATATTTAGGTAAAGAATGAAAACATCCATTGATTGATTTGGATATATTTATTATAGTTAACAACAACAGCGTGTGCGCTAAAAGGCAGTACGAACAGAACAGAGTAAAGCAACATCACATGACATAGTTGATCATTATAGTATAACTTATATGAAGTTCTTTAACAGAAAGAATGTTAGATGTGCATGTCATTATGTATAATAATTTTACTTTTTCTAACATGGCTTTTATCATAACGTGTACAACATTTTATACAATATAGGACGAAAATATTCACATCAAAAAAGAGTATGAAGTTTATTATCTAGATCTTTATATTTCGCTAATTTTGCGTTAGATATCTATGGAACAATTAGTTGCTACAGATTTGCATGATCACTATTTTTGTGTCCTTTCTGTGTCTTTGTTGAAAGGCATTTTTGATATGAATAACATTCGTTGATATTGATGGGTTTTTTAAACAATCACAAATAAATTTTAGATAATTTAACGTTGGAAAACACTGAACTTTCCAGCATCATCACCAGCAATACGATGTAATTAATCAAATATTTCGATGGTTCATTTCAAATATTATTCATACAACAAGTCTAAAAAATCAACAGGATGTGTTAAAATAATGACACGTCATAGAATTTCAGTTATGCATATCATAAATGCGGAATGATTTTAATTTTATCTAACTTGGCTTTTATCAAGAAGAAATTTTTTCCTCATTCATAAAGTCATCTATCTATTTATCTTATTCGTAACACAGATGATGACATAAAAACGTTTTGCTAGGTATGTCTTTAGAAATTACGCCTACTTAGAGTGAAAAGCTCACTTTTTCACGTGATAGTACACGTGATTTTTTTTGTCTATAACTGTTAGACTTGTTGTAAGATAGACATTTTAAAATATTTGTTTGCGTCAAAAGTTCACAAAATGACAATAGATGGGTTTCAAAATAGCAAATACATGGTGAATGGTGATAATAACAATGTAATAGTTCTTAAAAGAACTGTTTTAACCAGAACACTAACCCAACAATTCAAAGGAACCGTTACTTACAGCTAGAAAGAGACACTATGCATTTCGGCAGACTACTCGTCAGGTGTCAACGTCTGCAAATATATCCTCTTTATTTAACTTACTGGGGGGAATTCCAAACTTAGGACCTCTAGATAGTACATCTAACTCGACTGCAGAGAGTTGATACGACGAAAGATTTGTTACATGTGATGCAGCAGCATGGATGTGACCGTATCTTTTGCGTGTTAGCCGCTTCAATTTCTCTTCGTTATCTACCCATTCAACAGTCCATTTTTTTGAATCGAATATCTCCTAAATATGCACAATACCGTATGTAATCACACTTTGATAGAAAACCCTTAACAACCACCATTTGTCTCACAAGACAACTCTTTAAATAATCACATTTGCATTTCTCCTTATTAATATCGTCTATCAGAAAAGCCCTTTCCATATATAAACTATGCCTTGCCCTACTCCTTGCTACCCTAGTAGCCACATCATTAGGAACGACCCCTGCATTTAAACAACCGACTAGAAAAGAAACTCTGCTTTCAACCGAGCGAACCTTACCCCTAAGCCTCACCAATTTATTCAGGTCACGAACCTGATCTCCACTATAGCGCTTTCTTAAATAATGAAACAGAGACTTTGTCGTGGTGACAAACTTAAAGATGTATTTCAAAATAGCAAATACCATGGTGAATGGTGATTATAACAATGTAATAGTTCTTAAAAGAACTGTTTTAAGCAAAACCCTAACCCAACAATTCAAAGGAACCGTTATTTACAGCTAGAAAGAGACACTATGCAAATGACACTATGAAAGAGACACTATGAAAATTGCAAGAGTGCGATAAAACTAGTACATTAGAAAGGAGATTGCAAACACTTCTTCTAAACTTGAAAAAATCAAACCAAATTAATGAAACGTTTTATAATTTAGTCCGCACAAAGGGGGTAGAGAGACCACGTATGTATGGTTTGCAAAAATTCACAAGGAAGGCGCTCCACTTCGACCAATTCTAGCCATGATTAACTCAGCTCAACATGAGCTAGTAAAACAACTCTCAGTGGTACTTTCGCCCGTTTTTGGAGAGGTTTTCAACATACGCTTTAAAAGACTCTTTTACTTTTACTGATGAGCTTAAACAACAAAATTTTTCAATGTATTCTAATCTAACGATGTGTTCTTTCGATGTAACTAGTCTCTTCACTAGAGAACTAATGATGGCTGCCACAGAGGGTGTTGAGTTTAGTTTTGATGACACCATGTATAAACAAATTGACGGGGTGGCTATGGGTTCTCCACTTGGACCGGTTCTTGCGAATATTTTGTTGGCTATCATTAATGCAAAATGCTTGCATCTTTAGATTGTCCGGATGTGCTGTGGTATAAGCGTTATGTGGATGACACCTTTTCTTTGTTTCATAACGATAAAAATCGCGAATTTTTTCTTAATAAACTTTGCTCTCTTCACCCTGCACTAAATTACACCTCTGAACTAGAGTCAAACAATCAATTAGCCTTTTTAGATGTTCTTGTACACAAACGAAAAGGTCAGTTGTTAACAAGCATTCATCGCAAAGCAACTTTCACTGCTTTGTACAAACGCCTTGACTCTTTCTCTTCGCATAGAGAAAAGATTTCTTTAGTGAAGTGTTTGATAAAGCGAACGCATAGATTGTCCTCAAAAGAGTTTATTGATAGTGATCTTATCTCACTAAAGAATTTTTTGTGTTAAATGGATATCCGGAAAAGTTGCTAGGCAAACTTTTCTTATCCACTAACAATGAACGGAATAAACTTTTCGGACCGACCAAGTGCCAGGTTTTCGTTAAACTTCCCTGGATGGGTAAGGCCTCTAATGACATCGAGAACGAAACTAAAAATATCACCGAGAGTTTATTTTTTGCAAGCAATGTGGTCTTTATATTCTCAAAAAGAACTATTCTTCCACCCACTCCCAAAGAGTCTCTCCCTTCTCAAATATCAAGCAATGTAGTCTACGAGTTTAAATGTGAGTGTGATGCTCGCAATGTAGGTAGGACTTCTCAAAGGTTGAGTGAAAGAATAAAACAGCATGTACCAGCTTCTGTTATGAATAAAACTGTTCCTTTACGACAGCTACCAAAACGTGGGTGTAAAAGTGAAAATCCGATTTTATGTGATTCAGCGATTGGAAAACATCTTTTAAGCAACGCTCGCTGTGCCAATGCTTATTCTGATGAAAACTTTAAAATTATTAAAAAATGTCACTCGTTATTCCAGCTACGCGTCATGGAGTCGGTATTAATTAAATTGACTAATCCTGTCCTTTGCCGACAAAAGGATTACGTGTTTAATCTGTCTCTGTTTTAAGTGTCATCTCTAAAAATAGGGATGACATTGACCTTTTGTAACATTATAAATATAGCATGATTTGGAGGTTCTCATTTAGCAGACGTTGACACCTGACGAGTAGTCTGCTGAAATGCATAGTGTCTCTTTCTAGCTGTAAATAACGGTTCCCTTGAATTGTTGGGTTAGTGTTCTGGTTAAAACAGTTCTTTTAAAAACTATTACATTGTTATTATCACCATTCACCATGGTAAATGCTATTTTGAAATCCATCTTTAAGTTTGTCACCACGACAAAGTCTCTGTTTCATAAAGAGAAAGAATACTTGAAAAATTTCTCATGTTTGTCTTTACAATTATTTCTAGAAGGCAATCAGATCTTCTATAGGAAATAGGAATTTTTTTTAAATGCAAGGGCTAAATTACAGAATACTCTGCTTTATATATATTTCTAATGTACAGCTGACTAAGTAGTCATTGTATTCAAGTAGACAGCCTGCACAAACTTTGTGTGTCAGACAAATTGTTAAACACCTTCCTAAGTGATAATATGACTCAGTACCTCTATTTTCATTCCAACATGCAGTGGCGTCGCTAAAGTGGGGCCTGGGGAGGGGTCGCGTGCCCCCCTTAAAATTGGCTGTGCCCCCCAAGTGCCCCCATTTGAACTTTAGATAAGAGTCTTCATATACATCATTTGAAATTGAAACAGAAGCACATGACATTAATGTAAGAATTCTTCACAATTCGCACAAGTTTACTGTAAAGGGAAGCATTCTATTAGCTGTACAGACTAGTTTCGTTGCATTCAACATTTCTCGATTGTTAGCCGAGTGATGAAGACTATTCATGTTGTGATAAATATTTCAAAAATTTTCCAGTGCAGAAGCATTTTTTAGGGCCATTTCGCTAGCGAAGGACGTGGTACAAATTTTTACCCTCCCCACTACCGAAAATGTAGCGTAAAGCCTAAATGCAGGAAAACTAAAATGTCTAATTGCGTTGTTTTCAGCTGCCATCCTCGATATTCATTTACACGTACAAGTAAAACTGTAACATTACGTAGCTATGTGTGATCTTCAACAATTTTAGTTGTCTATAAATTCAAATTAAACAAACTATTTATGTTGATATTAATATTTTTATGACCCTTAGATGGAGTCAAGAGAAGAAAAGAATTACAACTACTTTCAGAAAATACTTAAAAATGTCGTTAAAAAGAAACTTGTTGATTTATTTATCCAAGAGTGGAACGCTCATTGCAGTAAAGACCACGGAGAATGGGAAAATACAAACGTTAGTGGTCAGAAGTTGTTCAATATTGAAAAAACAAAAAAGAAACCTCATGACAAACATATTCTGTCAAAATTTCAAGATGGTGACACCAGTAAGTGGGATTGTACAACATTGTTTGCAGCAATATTGTTTTCAAACGCAATTGGAAAAAAAATTGACCCAAACGCTAAAGCTGCTATGAATGAACTTCGTGAAGTAAGAAACAAAATCGCTCATAATGAAGATAGTAAATTATCTGATACTGAATATCATACAATGGTTTGTGATATTGAAAAGTCATTTCAAGATCTAGGATTTTCATTCACTGAAATTATCAAAATAAAAAGTGAACGAAACATATTTTATTCTTTTCAAGTACTTCCTTGCAAATCAAATCACGATGTGATCAAACGTACAGAGTTACTTAATCAAATCACAGCAGATCTCAATAACTTGCGCATTACTAACAATAATGAACTAACATATTACTATATTTCTGGTAATCCTGGTAGTGGTAAGTCTCAATTAGCCAGACAAATTTGCGAAGAAATATATAACTCGTTTGATTGGGAAAAAAATACGACATTTGTGATGACACTTGAAGGAAAAGATATCGACTCTCTTTTGAAAAATTATGTTGAACTTTATCAACGATTAAACAATGATAAAACTGTCATTGGAAATATTCTAAAAGAAGCAAAAAGCAGAGAAGACAAAATTAAAGATTTTCAATTATTGCTGACACAACAACTGAAATCTTGGCAAACATGGTGGATTGTTGTAGATAACGTGGTTGAACTTGACAAAATTTATCCATTATTACCTCAAGTTGGTGATCATAGCTGGAAAAATGGTCAAATTATAGTAACTGTCCAAAATACAGATGCAATACCACCAAATGGAAATCTAAATAAACACATTTCAGTTAGTCATGGTATGAATGATGAAGAATGTCGACAACTTCTATCTGTCTTTTCTGATATTCATAATAAAGATGAAAAATTTTTAAAGGATGTATCAGACAAATTAAATCGTCAACCGTTGTTCCTGGCAAATTCTGCTTCCTACGTAGGTAGTGTAAAAAGTGTAAATCCGACATTCACGTGGGTGCAATATTTTGATAAATTGAATGAAGGAGAGCGACAGAATATGGATGCTAATTTTCAAAAAATAAACACATCTTACTTAGGAATGAAAACTGTTATGTTAGCAGTACAAAAAAATGCTGAAGAATCCATCTTGTTGGAAGATGTTTTTAAACTTTTCTCATTAATATCTTTCGATCCCTTTCCACAAGATGTTATAATACAATTTATTAAAAGCATTGATCCACAAAAATCTGCAGAAGATGTTTGTCTTCAATTAAAGCATTGTTCTTTATTTCTTCAAACGGAAAACAACGACATCCGCCTGCACAGCGTTGTACACGAAGCCATCATAAATTATTCATCGCAGACCTTTGGCTGTAAACAAAACGAAAATATTTCTAAAAAGTCAGCAGCTAATCTTGCCTGTCAAGTTGCTTGGGCACTAAATCATTTTGAAGACAGAGAAGATGAAATCAAAATAATTCCACATCTAATTAAATTCATAACAAATTCATCATTTCAACATTTCTAAATAAGTTGATCGATGTAAAATCATCAAAACAAAAACTTGATGAAAGAAATTGGAAATTTGCCAAATATTTTGTAGATGTTTTGAAAAGATTTTACAACTATAAACTTGCAACTAAAGTACTTTATGAAATAACAGAAATTCAAACTAAAGTGTTAGGTGTTGATCATATTGATGTTTCATATACGTACAGCGACCTGGGTTTATTGCTTTTGGAGAATGGAGAGTACGAAAATGCTAAAGATTTTCTCGAGCGAGCAATGGAAATTCAAACAAAAACATTTGGACCTAACCATGTTATTATTGCGACAACGTACGGCAATCTTGGTATAGTTTACAAGGAAATGGGAGAGTACGAAAAAGCAAAAGATTTTTATGAACGAGCGTTAGAAATTGACACGAAAACATTTGGGCCTGACCATGTTAATATTGCGAGAACGTACAACAATCTGGGTATAGTTTACAAGGAAATGGGAGAGTACGAAAAAGCAAAAGATTTTTATGAACGAGCGTTAGAAATTGACACGAAAACATTTGGACCTGACCATGTTAATATTGCGAGAACGTACAACAATCTGGGTTCGGTTTACAGTAAAATGGGAGAGTACGAAAAAGCAAAAGATTTTTATGAACGAGCGATAGAAATTGACACGAAAACATTTGGACCTGACCATGTTAATATTGCGAGAACGTACAACAATCTGGGTTCGGTTTACAGAGATATAGGAGAGTACGAAAAAGCAAAAGATTTTTGTGAACGAGCGTTAGAAATTGACACGAAAACATTTGGGCCTGACCATGTTAATATTGCGAGAACGTACAACAATCTGGGTTCGGTTTACAGTAAAATGGGAGACTACGAAAAAGGAAAAGATTTTTATGAACGAGCGTTAGAAATTGACACGATAACAATTGGGCCTGACCATGTTAATATTGCGATAACGTACAACAATCTGGGTTTGGTTTACAACAGTATGGGAGAGTACGAAAAAGCAAAAGATTTTTATGAACGAGCGTTAGAAATTGACAAGAAAACATTTGGACCTGACCATGTTAATATTGCGACAACGTACAACAATCTGGGTTCGGTTTACAGTAAAATGGGAGAGTACGAAAAAGCAAAATATTTTAATGAACGAGCGATAGAAATTGACACAAAAACATTTGGACCTGACCATGTTAATATTGCGAGAACGTACAACAATCTGGGTTTAGTTTACGATAATATGGGAGAGTACGAAAAAGCAAAAGATTTTTATGAACGAGCAATAGGAATTGACTCGAAAAAATTTAAGCCTGACCATGTTGATATTGCGATAACGTACAACAATCTGGGTTTGGTTTACTATAATATGGGAGAGTACGAAAAAGCAAAAGATTTTTATAAACGAGCGTTAGAAATTGACACAAAAACATTTGGGCCTGACCATGTTAATATTGCGACAACGTACAATAATCTGGGTTTGGTTTACTATAATATGGGAGAGTACGAAAAAGCAAAAGATTTTTATGAACGAGCGATAGAAATTCAAACGAAAACACTTGGACCTGACCATGTTAATATTGCGACAATGTACAACAATCTGGGATTGGTTTACTATAATATGGGAGAGTACGAAAAAGCAAAAGACTTTTATGAACGAGCAATAGGAATTGACTCGAAAAAATTTAAGCCTGACCATGTTGATATTGCGATAACGTACAACAATCTGGGTTTGGTTTACTATAATATGGGAGAGTACGAAAAAGCAAAAGATTTTAAAGAAAGAGCGATGAAAATTCAAACAAAAGCATTTGGACCTAAACATGTACTGCAATAATATACAACAATCTTCATTTGGTTATAAACAAACTACAGATATTGAAAGTGAAGCATTTGGACTTCTATTTAACTTTTATTTTCTAGAAGCTAAAATACTCCTGTTTTTGTGAAAACGTACAAGGAGATAGAAGAAGAGGAAATTAATTTGTAGCTCATTTTCAATGAAGAAGAAAATCAATTTCTCTTTTGATTTTAGGTATGTCTTCTTTATACTAAAGCTGATTAGAAACACTTGTATTGTAGATTCCTTTTAACAAAGGTTCAAATAACAACAGTTGTATATTTATAAAAGATATAAATATATTATTGACAATATTTAAATATTTGTATTTTTAAGTTTTCAACTTTCATTTATTTACTGGAACAGTTTTTATTAAGAAACTTGTATGGAACTATCAAAGTATATTTATGAGTTTAGTTTGCAATATCTAGCTATTAAGAAGTTGTGAAGTTCCTTAAAATGAATGTTGTTGGGTCATTTTCTTGTATAATGAGAGTAAATACTGATCTTACAGCAACCATGATCATGTAACATCCCTTTTTGAAATGTTGAAAAGCCCACAAAATTTGCTTTGCCATGTAACGTTGAGGCGTAGAACGGTCAGATTTGGATCCTCATGTCCCTCGGTATATGCACTTGCGCCATGAAATCATACACTTGCCACGTATCGTTATTATTATTACATTGTATTTAATTATACGAGTTTACATTCAATTTTGCTATCTCTATTCATCTCTGGTCTTGTCTTTATATAATAACTAAAGGGAGTGTTCCCCGTCATATCCTGCACGTAATAGTGGGATGACTTGGTTCTTTCTAAGCGCGTTATAGTGCTTTCAGGGCTTGTGTGGTTAGCTTGTAGCGCGTTGTTGTGCTTACTCACATCGTATATCCGTTGACGCACAACAACTATGACTAAGCTTGATTCGTCGCTACACTACCCCCTTCTTAGAGAAAGCATGTCCCATGCGCTGATAAAACTAGTATGTTATATATGTCTCCTAAATCATGCAAAAGTCAAACAATTAAAATCATGTTGTCCAGAATATTCAGTTTATGTCTACGTCAAAATCCACCATCCATTCGGGAGGTCGAATTTGACGCCGTGGTCGGGACAATGAAGGTTGCCGCTCCTCAAGTATGGGTAGTTCGCCCTCCCGTATTGGGTTTGTGTACTCGAAGACAGGTGAGTCGTGGGTATACATAAGATCAGTTTCGTCCGGAACGTAACGTTGCTCGTTGACACGATGTTGGTCATCTTCATGAACACTCTGTCCACGCGTTGCTTGAGGGTGACTATTCTCCACAGACTTGATTGTGCAATGTTTCAACCGATTGTAGTGAACAATTTGCTTTCTTCCTTCTCCATTCTCTGCCCCAATCTTGTAATTCACGTCAGAAAGTTTGTCAAGGATGACAAACGGTCCTATCCATGGCGATCGCAACTTGCGTGACTCACCTTGTTTCGTTGCGGAATTGAGAAGCCAAACACGATCGCCCATACCAAAACCATCACCAGTACCGCGAGCGTCATAATACCGCTTTTGCCGCTTCTGTGCTGTTTTCAGGTGTTCACGAGATAGATCGTGCGCTGCCACGAGGCTGTCTCTCAACTCCTCGACGTACGCGTGCACATCCTTTGATTGGTCAGGAGTGTTTCCGTACATCACATCTGCAGGTAAACGGATTTCTCCTCCAAACATTAGCTGGTATGGAGTAAAGCCAGTTGATTCCTGCACACTCGATCGGTAAGCCATCATAACTCGGGGAAGATGTACGTCCCAATCCTTTTGATGTGTTGCTACATATATGGAAAGCATCGCTTCAAGAGTTCTATTAAAGCGTTCAATCATTCCATCTCCCTCCGGGTGATACGCCGATGTGCGAGTCTTATGGATTCCCAAAAGCCTACACACTTCTTGGAATAGTGAAGACTCAAAATTCCTACCTTGATCTGTGTGGATGGTATCTGGTGCACCAAAACGGCAGATGAATTCGTTCACCAACTTTTCCGCAACTGTATATGCTTCTTGGTTTGGAATGGCATAACTCTCCGTCCATTTTGACATGATGTATTTGTTGCCGTTTGTAGACACTGGTAAAGGTCCCAGGATATCGATTGCAATTCGTTCTAAAGGATAACCAGGGGGACAACTCACCAGTGGTGCCCGATTCCCTTTTGTTGCACCCTTACCCACAGCGCACTTTTCACATTTCATCAACCATTCTTCGACATCTTGACGTTGACCAGGCCAGTAAAATCTCTGTCGTACTTTCGAGAGAGTTTTTGTTATGCCCAGGTGACCGGAAGTTGGACTGTCGTGCAGACTTCTTAACACATCGTTCACTAAACAACGAGGTACTACCAACAAGGGCTCCGTCGTTGTGCCATCGTCATTTTTATAACGACGATACAAAACACCGTCACGAATTTCCAAAACGTCCCAATGTGAACACAAATTGTGCACAGCTCGG